TATTAATAAAATTATATTTAAAAAAGTGCATGAATTAATAGGGATGTACTACTTCTTTAACTTTAATCATAGATTTTGATTTCAAGCTTGAAATAGAATCCTATTGAAAGTGTCCTCCTAAATAAGGGCTCAACCTAAATTTAATTGGGGCTTTGACTCAGAATTGAATAATTTTGGATGTCATTTTCATGAATCTATAATTTCGTCGTGTTTTAATAGTGTTTATGACAATTTTGATATTATAATTGGTTTATTAATTCGGTGCGGTTTAGTTAATAATGAGTCGGTAGTGGGTTGGTTTATAATTATATTAATAAATTAAATTATAACTAATAGTTGAGCGCAAAGTATTTCAAAAAATATTTAAATAGTTTAATTTTAAAATAGTTAAATAAGTGGTCAATTTTGAACTTAAAGGTGGATGACAAGGGTATTTTGGAGTCAATAGGTAGATGAGAAGGGCATTTTGGAGCCAATAGGTGGATAAAGGGTAATTTTGTACCATTTTCAATACTTCGAGGCTATTTTAGACCCTTTTCCGTTAAAAAAATGTATATTTTTGTTTCACATCAAAACCCCACACTTAAACTTTTGTTCGTCCTCGAGCAAGCATTAAAGTTCATCTAAAAAAATTATACTAGCAATGTCATAACTTTGACTAATAAAAATAATTAGGCCATATACCCATTTTAAAATATCAAGTAGACTTCTCAATCATTATGCAAGACATCTCACTAAACAACAAACTTCTTACCTCCTAACTTGAAGGACTTTGAACTATAAAACTTGTGTTCGTTCACCTACTCTCATCAAAGAAAGTTAATAACATCACATATCTATCATAAAACAAGTTCCCTCACAAAATAAAATAGTCCACACACTCACTTCAAAAGATTGAATATATATTAAGGACTTCATATGAAGAACAACTCTCACACTCACAAATAAAATTCACATGTATGCACAAAGAATCATATGCTTGCGCATTATTTACATCTCCACTAATTAAGCATGCTTCAATAGAATCAAATAGGCCTTTAACAGGTTGTAATGTAGGCTAGGGGACGGGTAGAAAAAATATAATAGTGACTTTCACTTCCTTAAGTACTTTGCAATTTTAGACTTCATCACCCATATTTTCCTCTCTTTATTTTCAGCCCTCTATTCAACAATTATTTCACAAATAATTCTCATCATCACAAGAATGTTTAAGTCATAATTATCCTATTTTTTATTTCCTTCATAATAGCACCTCGACTTGCGTATTTTACATAAGTTAAGGTGCATGATGTCCTTGGAAGGACCAGGGCCATCATCAAGGTAGTTTTTTTTATGTCACATTCCAATTATATATATTTTTTCACATTCTTTCAAAGAGGTCTTTTAAGAACTTTGTAGCTATCATTGATTACCATTTCAATCATCCTTCTCTTTTTCTCAGAATTGATAATTAAATTAGTCTATGCTATGATGCTCAAGGAAGCAAGGTGCAAAAACTAGGGATTCAACAAAAATATTCAAGGAAAAAATATGAGTACCAATAAAAGGCTACAAGCTCAAAAGAGGTAACTAGTGAGAAATTATATGAAAAGGCTAAAATTTATAAGACAAATCAAAGAAAGTGTATTATCATCTCCTAAACAAGGCAACACATTTTTATTTCGCTTCAATAACATGCAGGGCGAGTTCTAGATTAAGATGCAAAACATGGAATAAACAAAATCTCACCACACATGGCACAAGTATCAATCAAGATGGATCAATTCTACTTCTAACAGAGACAGGATCATAACAAACTACAAAATAAATAAGCTATATACAAAGTCACAACCATGAGCCTAGATGTCAAAAGGTTTGCAATTTCACTAGTAATAAAGCATTCACAAGAAAATATTACTTAAAATTAGGCCAAAATAGTAAGTGTCATATAACTCAAAAGGGTCTCTTTTTTTCTCTCCAAAATAAAAAAAAATCTCAAAATAAATAAATAAAAGACACTCGGTTCAAAGGGACTATCCTCATGAAAAGAACCGAAAGCAAAAGTCAAGGAACTCATCCTAAAAAAAAGGACTCAATGAAAAAGTACAAACTAGGAATTCATTCCTCCACCCCACACTTAAAAAGATGTTATGTCCCAAAGCATTAAATAAAATATAAAACAAGGGTCGGAAAAACTCCCTGAGGCCTTTAAGCCTAGCTAATAGCACGTTCTCTAAATTTATATAAAGGGTCGTCACACCACAGTTAAGCTCAAACATGCTCTCTTTTTTTTGTTGGTTACTCAGACTTCCCCTTATTAAAAAAAACAAGATAAAAAAAGTGATACTAATAAAATAAAATAAAAAGTTACACTACTAATTGGGTCGCGATACGACACTATCAATTTTACTATTTTTCTTCCACTTTGAAGATATGAATTGCACCCCCAATTTTGAATCAATTTTTCTATTACGCTCAAGGGGTGGTGGTAAAAAAAAGAAAGGGCCCAAACAACAGATATCACATTATGCACTTATTGAATCTTAAGTGAGAAATGTAATTTTTCGATGTTGGAACAGTAAATTCAAGAATATAGACACAATTTTCTTTCTCTATACACTATTCTATAGGCTCAGATGACTTGATGATAGTAATAATAAAAAAAATCCTAAGAAAAAAACAGAAAAAAAACTACAAGTTAAAATAAATACTAAAGATAATTTCTAAGTCGTATTCCCCGGCAGCGGCTGATACGCTCAAACTTACCTCTCAAATAAGAAGTAAAGTTGTCGTATCAAGTAAAGAACCAAACTAATGAGGTTGGGATCGTTCCCACGAGGAAAAGAGTTCAGACTTAACTTCAATCTACTATTACTATTATTTAGTCAATTATTTTCTTAGAAAACAAAGACAATAAAAGGGGATCTTTTTATTTCTAAATGAGTAAAAATAACTAACTAAATTAAAGTAGAAACCTAACAGATTCAAATGTTGGAGTTTAATCAATTAATAAAAGTAACTAGGGTTTACGTGTTCCCCACAGGTTCCTAACTTGATAATTCTAACTATAACAATTCTTTCCTAGTATCTTGCATGCAAAGTGATAAGTTATGTATTTCTACATCCTTGGTCCGGCATCTAGAAAATTTCACTCCGCACCTTGGTCCGGCTACGTGTGTTGCTATACTAACCCTTACATTTACCTCATATTAAGCATTCTATTCGATATTTGACGAAGTTATTACCTCGTACCAATCAATACTAGCCTATTAGATAGTATACACTAAATCTATGTTGATAATTCTTTTCCTATTATCTACCTCCTTGGTCCGGCAAGTAGCATTAAGGCAAGTTCTAACGTTGTCCATCCATTAAAAAGACTTCTAAGCAAAAGAATTATCAATATATGCAAGACACTAATCTAGAATTGTTATTTTAGCTAGATTTCACCTCATTATTCACTCATGGTTCCCACAACCCTAGTTATAGAGTTTAGTTACCCATTGTCATAATCACAATATTCATATATGTAATATAAGAGTTCATGCACTTACTTCAATGAGAAAGAATAAAATGCAGAAATTTACTTGATTAATAAAAAAATCACCAACAATCAACTCTAGAGAAAAGTGTAACAATCCAAAGTCTAATATCCAAAATAATCTACTAACAAAGAATATAACATAAAAGTGTCTAATAACCAAGAGTCTAACCCCAAAAACGAGTTTTTTACAACTATTTATATAAAAAAACAAAAATATAATAAGAGAAGGACTCTAATTGCTAAAAATTTGTCAAAACACGGTTGGGTCGACGGATCTCATGACGGGTCATCGTGGTCACGACGGGCCGTCATGGACCCCATCATCCCATACTTTGCAAATTCTTCTTCTGCTCTCTTCATTTCTCTCGACGTCAGGTATGACGGATCGTCACAGGCACAACGGTTCGTCGAGGGTCTCTGTTCCATAATACTTAAACTCTTGGAATCGGGTACTATAGGACTACTTCTCTGATCATCACGACGAACCAGCAGGACGGACCGTTGTGGCTATGACTGTCCGTCATGCACTTCGTAACCCCACACTTGGTCAGACTTCCCCATCTTTCATCATCAGCTTCACTACGATGCCACCTACGGACCGTCACAGGCACGACGGACCGTCACAAGCTCCGTAGGTGGTAACTTTTCTGCATTTCTCGCTGAAAAACTTCCATGTTCATCTTTAGACAGATTTCCTGCAAATAAAGGGAAACTTACATAAAAATCAATACAAAAAGGCTTTTGGACACACACTAAACTTAAGAAAAAGCATTAAAAATACCTTGAAACCACGGTATATCAGTGGTGCCATTATTTGATAACGTTCAAATATACTTCTAGAAAAGAAATATAAACGATCGTATGCAATATATTTACCCAACTATGAGTCAGGGTCGATCCCACAAAAAATATCGAAGAATATTGTCAATAGCAAATATTTAACTTGATAGTCGTTATATAAAAATGGGGGATTTTAATTTGAAATAAAAATAAAAGAAATAAAAATATCTTTGAACTAAGTATTTATTTATATCCAAATTAATAAAAGTAACTAGGAATGTGTGCGTTCTCCATAAGCTCATAACGTATTAATCCTAATAATAGCAATTCTTCTCTAGTGTTATGCATGTAAGTGATAAGTTATGTATCTCTAAATCCTTGGTCCGGCATCTAGAGAATTTCACCCCGTACCTTGGTCCGACTACGTGTGTATAATTTATTAAATCTTACCTTTACTTCATATTAAGCATCATATTCAATGTATGGTTGACTTACAACTTCGCACCAATCGAAACTAGCCTATTAGATAGAATATACTAAATCTATGTTGATAATTTTTTTCTTATTAACTACCTCCTTGGTCCGGCAAGTAGCAACAAGGAGAGTTCTAACGTTGGTCACCGTTAAAAAGACTTCTAATTGAAAGAATTATCAATACATGCAATAACCTATTTGAGAATTGCTTAATTACTATTCATACATTGTTAATCACTCATGGTTCCCACAAACCTAGTTGTTAAGCTTAGCTACTCATTATCTCAAAAACATAATCAAAATTTATTAAAATAAATATGTTTGTATTAATCATAAAAAGTTAAGAACAATCGGTAAACTATATTTTTATTAATCACGAATAAAAATAAATAATAAAGGAGAAGAAAGAATAAATCACAATTCTACAGTCTTCACGACGGCTCTTACAAAACTCCAAAGATAGAAGAAAATTTATATTATGTCTTGTATCTTATTTCTTGGCTTCCTCAATAATAATTTTCCATGCCGTATTTATAGATGTAGAAAACCCTAAATAAAATAATTGAGTCCAAACAAATTAGGAATCCAAAACCAAAAAGAATCGAAGTGCTTTTTTCCTTTTTTTCTTTCCGCGTGTAGTGTCGCGTGAATGGATTGACCAGTGCATTCAGAGAATACCACGTGGCAGGCTGCAACTTTTTTGTGAATTGTTTTGCAATTCGGAGCAGTAATATGCATTTGAATATAAATATATTATTTTATTCAGTTTTTCTATTAAGCTACCTGCTTCATTTCCTTCTTCAACCTTCCATTTTTAATTTGTTTTAGCTTTAAATTTCTTCATTTTCCCACCAATTTAATCCTACAAATAAAATACACAATTTAGCACATAAAATTTATGCTTAAAACGGACAAATATAAATAATAAATGTGAGGTAAATAATGATAAAAAAATATGTATGTTGGCCTCACATCAGTATTCGGTTTTACTTTTGCCGGTGAACCACCTCTTTTCAGTGTGGGGAAGACACTAACTTTCATGTTTAGCTCACATGATCTATGTCGATTAAATGCTCCAGATTCAGTTTCACTTTAGCCAGTGAACCACCTCTTTTCAGTGTGGGGAACACACTGTATTTCATGTTAACTCACATGATCTAGGTTCACTTTAACCGATGAACCACCTCTTTTCAGTGTGGGGAAGACACCGATTTCATGTTAGCTCACATGACCTAAGTCAGTTAAATGGTAAGGATTTCTTTAAGAAAGTAAGTAAGAAAGAAAGGAAAATTATGTTCAAAGTGTAAATGAGATCAAAGAAGAAAAAAGTAAGTTCACAATTGAACTAAGTAAGCATAATGATCAAATAATTGGCATAGCCAAATATATGAATATATGCTCCAGCATCTTCATATTACGCAAAATGATCAAATAACGGGCATAGCCAATAATATGAATATATGTGCCCAGCAACTTTATATTATCCAAAATGATAAAATAATGGGCATAGCCAATAAAATGAATATATGCCCCAGCATCTTTATATTATGCAAACGATCAAATAATGGGCATAGCCAATAAAGATTGACTTATAAAGACTTCATGTCCAATTTAACAAGAATGGAAGAAATAACTTCTGAGTAGAGTAGCCAAATCATTTTCTTAGTCTTTTGGATTACTTACTCAATTCATTGTAGAAATGAGTTCGAATCATTGCACTCGTATGTAAAACATAGGATCAAAGGAGATCATTGAACTACACAACAAAAAGAAGAAAAAGACTAAAAAATAAACTAAGTCTGCTCTCAACCTAAGGGAGCAAAAATATAAATTTTTGCTCGAGTTGTTCTAAAATTATGTTCATGATTCCAAGGTCTTATGTTCATATAGAAAATGAGTTGTGTGTTTTAAATGCATGAAAATATGTCATATTCATAGCATGATTCATAAATAATGAATTAGGAAAGTAAAGTGACTTCACTTTCCAAAAATGACATGTTGCTATACGAAGAGCTTTCCTTGATCATGCATAGTCCTTATGTGTTTATGTGCATACACCCATACTTAGTACAAGTGTGTACTAACCCATATACAATTACTATTTTTATAGGTGCAGGTCTTTGAAGAAGATTGAAGATTCGTTTGAAGCTCTTTGGACTAGTACTTCCAGACTTTGGTAGGTCCTCTTGAGTTTGAGGATGCCTACGTTTTATGTTCTAGCTTTAGTAGATTAGACATAGCTAGTGGATGTTGTCCCTAGTGTTTTCTTTCAAATATTTTTTTTATATTAAGGCCGGTTTGGCAACTATTAATAATATCATGAATTCTTCGTTTCATTTGTTCAATCTATTAATAGATGGTTGTTTATGTTGAGTTATTAGTATATCACTCTTATGCAGAAATTACATGAAATCTAAGTACACTACACAGTAAAGTTAAAAAGTTTTAAATTTTCCACTAAATTTAACTGTATGATTGTGATGAAAGCTAAGAGAGGCTTATCTGCGACCTTTGAGAGGTTGACGACGCCGGTCTCGTCTAAGTCTAGAATCGGGGTGTGACAGTTTATCTCCAAAGAAACTTAATTTTTGGATTTCTCTTTATTTTTCAGGTCAAAACTGCAAATAAAATATGACTTGGGAATCCACCTATATGCAATTCGGACAACTATGACTGTTGTTGTGTTCGACTATTAAACCAAGCTACTGGTCATAATCCACCTTAGATTGTTAATTTTAGGATACACATGACCATTGGAGCCACATGTTACAATTTGACACTGCTGATAGTGAAGTGGTTGTATACTGAAATGATGAGGTGATGCTTAACAACTGATAAAAAAGTTAGTTAGGTAAGGAATTTTACTTCTTAGTCCAACTATAGTTTATTTATTGCATTTTAATCCTTCTACTCTAGTGTTAGCGTTACATGTTAGTTTATCCAATTCATTGTTGAAACTGAAGCTTGTGATTTAGGGGTAGGAGTTGTGTTGATGCAAGATGGTCATCAATAGCTTTCATCAGCAAAGGATTATCAGGCAAACATTCGATTTTGTCAGTATATTATAAGTAGTTGTTGTGTTTGGTTATTTCTATTACCAAAAATGGTCACAATATTAACTGTGGATACCCTTTATTGTAAGGACTGATTACAGGCCCTCAAATTCTTTTTGGATCAGAAACTACATATTGGGTTCAAAATGCAATGGGTGGGCAAACTCCTGCGATATGATTTAAAGATTGAGCACGAGAAAGGAAGGGAGAACAAGGCAGTTGATGCTATGTCCAGATCACCTATGACTGAGGGTTTGTTGCAACTATTGCAGATCCATCAAACAACATGTGCAAGTATAAGCATGGACTTTATTGATGGGCTGTCTAAGTCTCAGGGGAAGACCACAATTTTGGTGGTGGTAGATAGGCTAACCAAATATGTTCATTTCATGTTATTAACATATACCTAAACTACATCAATTGTGGCTCAGACTTTCATGGAGCAGTTATTCAAGTTGCATGGAATGCTTGAGAATGTAATTAGTGACAGGGAACCTATTTTTATTAACAGGTTGTGGCAGGATCTGTTTACTACGCAAGTTCAACAGCTTATCACTCTCGGGGCTCAGTATGATGGGCAAACTGAGGTAGTCAACAGAACATAGAAAACTTATTTAAGGTGCCAATGTGCTCATAGTCATAAGGATTGGAACATGTATTTTCTATTTTGCCTAGTGGTGGTACAACACTACTTTTCATTCAGCTATACTAGTCCATGTGAGGTTCTTTATGGACAACAACCCCCTACACACTTGCTTTAATTGTCCGGTGAGGCAGTGGATGACGAAGTTTATATAAGCTTGATTACTAGAGAGTTTAAAACTCAGTTGTAAGGTTTCATTTAGACAAGGCAGAACAAAGAATGATAGACATGCATGTATGGCTAACAAATACTAATGTGATAGGCAGTTTCAAGAAGGATATTGGGTGTACCTCAAAATTCAGCCCTATAGACAAACTACTTTGTCTAATCAGACTTTCAACAAACATTCAACCAAGTATTATGGGCCTTACCAGGTGATACAAAGGATAGGAAATGTGGCTTACAAGTTTTCCCTACCTACGCATGTGGCCGTACAAAATACTTTTCATGTTTCTAAGTTGAAAGCCTGCTATGCGTTTTCTCAAGTACTTAACCACCCTCCCTTAGTAGACATTGCAAGTCCCTATTGTGTTGAGCCAGATCAGGTGTTAGACAGAAAGATGATAAAAAGGGGCGATACAGTTGTAGCTGAAATCTTAGTGCAATGGAAGGACATTCCATATGAACAAGCTACTTGGAAAGATTTTGCTAAAATAAAGTTCAGGTTCCCGACTTTTCTTCTCTGTGGACAAGAAAGATTTTTAAGGAGGGAGGAATATTACAATTTTTACATTGTTAATAGTGAAGTGGTTGTAAACTGAGTTTGATTAAGTGATTCTAAACAACTGATGAAGAACTTAATTAGGGAAAGGACATTTTATAGTTTAGTCCAGTTGTAGTTTATTTATTGCATTTTAGTCCTTATTTTGGAGCAGTTAGGTTAGTACGATTGTGTCAGCTAGATTCATGGTGGAGAGGCTTGGTCAAGCCCTATATTTGTACCTACCAATGCATTATGAGAACTATGAATTGAAATACATTTAGTTAACCTAATTTCTATTTTATTCAGTTCTTTCTTTTCTTTCTTTTTCTTAGCTCTAAGTTACTGTTCCATTGATTTTCTCTGAGTTGCAAATTCAGTTTGCAACACCACGAGCTACATTCCTCTTTCTATAAGTTTTGTGGGTAAAAAATCCCAAAGATTGGTTTGCAGAAATTGTGTTTCAACACGATGTGTTTTTATTGGACATGAATGCAGACAGAGAATACAGAACAAAAACTAGCATGCTCTTTTTTATGCAAAAGTTAACAAATACAGCAGTGAGACCAACACATTCAAATCAAGACACTAAAAGTGGTGCGCGCATCTCAGCCATAAAAGTTTACCTTCTTTGTTAATTCGCCATTTCAAAAAGTGTAATCGCTACCTTTCCTAAATAAATACCGAAATCTCAACCATGAAATTTTTCTTCATTTTTACTCCCTTATTTTTCAGGAGTACGTCCTCTTTTCCAATTCAAAAGAAGAAAATATCAACCACGAAAAATGTCATTAATAATCGCTGATCTTTCAGGAGTGTATGCACCTTTCACTATTTTAAAGGCTCCACACCATACTGATCCTTTCAGATATGAACCCTAGGCACCTTTTAACAATCTATCGCAGCAAGAAGGAAAAACAAAAAAGTTAGACTAGTGAACAAGTTTGAAACTCTTTGTTTAAGCTAATTTATCTAAGTAATAGTTTTACTGGTTTTATTCTTATAGTACAAAATAATTATGCACAATCGACATCTCGGACGAATTTTACAAATTTCAGCAGAATTACTAGATAACGTATATCTGCTGAAGGAAACCATAAATACCATGACACCAAATTTCGAAGGATAACAAACAAGGTTACAAGCTTGCGTTATTCATAAAAATTGTGACCTACTATGTGTCAGAATTATCAAAAGATGTTTAACCCTTAGAAGTTCCTAACAGAATGATACTTAAACAAGTTACCACAAAGAAGTAAACTTCTCGTGCTCGAAAATCTACATAGAGTTTGGAACTTCTATTCACTCCCATTATAATAATCATCTTAAGCAACTCCCACATAATGCTATAATTTTTTCATGAGTTTCACACTCTAACTGAAGTTATTTCCTTTTCCTCCATTACTCTCACCATTTACAGCTACTCAACCAAGATTTTAAAGTTTCACACTCTTAACAATACATTTTCGTGAGTCATGAAAGTTTACCTTCTTTGTTAATTTCCCATTTTAAAGAGTCTGATCTGTACCTTTCCTAGAAAAAGGAACAACTAATAGTTGGTGTAACAAACTTTGATGTGTGTTTTAATATATAGAACAATTGATAGTTGGGTGTGAAATTGGCATAAAAGTGATAGTTGATGTATGCATTTTACAATTAAGTCAAACAGATATACATACCAATGAAATAAGCAGCCATCATAGAACTCCTAGAAACTATATCCATCTCAACCATTTCATCAAACAGTTGTCTTGCAAACCTGATCAACCCAAATACTGCATACATCCTTACAAGGGTACTGTTTACATGTAAACCTGAACCGAAACCCGACTTCACAGCCATCAAATGCAATGACCCACCCGTTCCAATGATCAAATAATGCCCACAAACCTTTAGTACAATTTCATGGAACTCTTCAAAGAGCTTCAAAGACTCTACTTCCATGGAATATGCTCTCATCATCGTGTTCCATGCGAAGATTGATGGACTAATGGGAGAATTATGGAAGATGGTACGTGTGAATTGGAGAGATATTGGGCTGTTTCGATGAACAGAGAATGATATGAAGTTGGAGAATATGAATAATAGTTTTCGAACGTTGGAAGTGTAACTCAATTTGGTGGGAAATCATTTCCAAGCATTCAATTTTTTATCTTGTCTAGACTACAGTCATATTCAACGTCTTATTAATTTATTTATTTATTTTTGGTAACAACTATTTTATTCTCGGTAATTTCATTACAAACATGTCCAACCCAAATATCAAATTTGATATAAACCATATTTTAATATAAATCAACTCCAATCAATTATAATTTTACGCAAAAAGAAATTTTTTTTTTCTCTTTTTATTATTATATTATTATTTCTTATTATAATAAAACAATTTTTTTTCTAAATCATTCACCATATATAATTCATATTATTTTTATTTATAGTTGTTTAATATAAAATTATTTTATACAATAATTTTTAAAACGATAGAAATTGCTAGCAAATATTACACATTATACGTTATAATGAATAATGCAAATAAAAGTGAAATCATTAATCAAATACAATTAAATAAACAATACATAATTCAAAAAAATATATTTTAAAATCTACATAAATATTTAACTTTCAAGATCACTACGATACTCTCATAAATGCACTATTAATGCATTATGTAGTTCACACACCAAATTGTTATTACTTTATCAATGTCCCCTTTTAAAAGTGTGGAGATGTTGTAAAACAAGCTTAGAATAACAATATAAAGAATAACAAATAACAAATAACAATATATCTTGTAAAATTTTATCAAGTGGAATCTGAGAGAATAGAGTGTAGACATATTTTACTATTGCTGTTTGGAGGTAGATAGGTCGTCTTTCAAAGTTCATTAGACTAAAGTATTACAAACACAACAAAAGGACAAGAATGCAATGAAAAATCAAAACAATTAATAAGAAAAACAATGCAAAGCCTAAAAGAAAGAAACAACACGAATAGACCTTACCACTACTGTTTGGAGGTAGAGAGGTCTCTTTTGAAGGTTCATTAGGCTAAAGTACTACAAACACAAGTAAAGGACAAGAATACAATGAAGAAAGCAAAATAATTAATAAGAAAAACAATGTAAATCCTAAAAGAAAGAAAGAACACGAATAGCAAAATACTCCCTTTGCTCTAATTGTTTGTCCACATTTTCCTTTTTAGTTGTCCCTAATGATATGTTCATTTTGAAAAATCAAGAAAGGAAAAAAAATCTTTAACTATTATACACTTAATTAATTTTGAAAAAGATAGAATTTCTAGAAACTCTTAAATTTTTTATTCTTTCACTTCATAATTAAAAGGGGTAAAATGATAAACTCACTATTCAATCATTGTTTACTTAATATGACAATTCAAAAGTGGACAATTAATTAGAGATAGAGGGAATAGTATGATATATAGTTGAAACAAAATACACAACATATGATGATAAGACAACAAAAGCAAAGAAAGACAACATTCTACCCCTACTAACTTTCTACTATGATACATGACATCCTCTCTTTACAAATCATGTCATTGATACTATGAAGTTATGACATGTTTTTGTCTAGTCACTCCTCTCCAATACTTTCTTTTTACTTATCTCTACCTCCCCTACTAGGATTGTGCATGTTAAGCCATCAAACCAAACCAAATCGATGAATCAAATCAAACAGACAAAAAAATTGGACTTGTGATTTAGTTTGATTTATTTGATGATGGAAAAAATCCTGACCATTTTTTATTTTATTTGATTTTAACAGTACACTTAAAAAAAAGTCAAATGGAACCCAAATTAAATCGACATAATGTACGTAAGTTTTAATTTTTTGTATGTGTACAAATACTTGTAATCTATTTGTAAGTATTTTTTATACTAGTTTATAAAATTTAATTTTTAGGTATAGTATTTCATATTAGGGTTCGTAATATGACTAAAAAATTGACATGTATTTGTTGGGATTTTTACGTGGAAACCCTTCTCAATAAGGGAAAAAATCACATGCCAAGAGAAGCAACTAATACCACTATAGTAAGGAATTTTACACAGTGTAGTCACGAATACAATACTCAAAGTGACTACTACACAATCAAAATGAACAACACTCTTTTGGTTTTCACCTTACTAATATATCGCTCACACTCTATTTTTCTTCACACACTATTTTTCTTGTATAGTCTATGGAATACCTCACTTTGCTCTCAAAGTGGTTTTTCTCTCAAGTTTTGGTGTGTTCTACAAATGAGCAAGAATGCTCTATTTATATAAGGATAAAATCATGCTTATGTCACTAATAACATAGGTAAACATAACAAAGTAAAAAATGATTGTGAATCTCACCAATTTGCCAACTACCAAATGTTTTATTTTCTACTCTAGTTATTATTCCTTTTTAACAATTACTTGTATCAATTGAATAGCAAAAGTTGATCAAAAAATAGGATGGACTCAACAAATCTCCCCCTCCAGTCCCATTCACTGGAAGGAGGTATCTTCATCTTCTTTAGAGAGAGCTCATACCTACAAGTTCTTTGCATAACTCGAACTTGTCTTTCGGCATAGTCTTGGTCAGCATATCTATAGGACTTTGAGTTGTGTGGATCTTTTTAACGTTAAATGATTCACTCTCCACTTCCTCACAGATCTAATAGTATCTGACATCAATATGTTTTGTTCTTGCATGGTACATGGAGTTCTTACTCAAGTCTATTACACTCTAGCAGTCACAATAGATAATATACTCCATCTAATTCAAACCAAACTGTTGAAGAAATCGCTTTAGCCATATCATCTCCTTGCCGGCTTCAGTAGTCGCAATATACTCAGCTTCAGTTGTAGACAGTGTAATACACTTCTGAAACTTTGACTATCATGATATAGCTTGTCACGAATGGATCTAGACTCTAGACGAGACTAACGTCGCTGACCTCTCAGAGGTCGCAGACAAGCCTACATACGTCATTCTTACTTCTTCTAGGTTACTTTTTAGCGGAAAATTTGAACTTTTTATTTTCTAATTTCATGATAAATATTTTGAACTTAACATCATAGGCGTTCACAAATCAACCATCTAATATAGTAGTAATGAAATGAAAGAAACAATTCATAATTGACTAAATGTATTTTTGCCAAAACGGCACCAATACAAAGTATAAAATGAAAGTGGAAAGAAACACTAGTGGAACATGCTCCACTAGCTAAAGCCTACATCTAAGATAGATAATAACGGTAGACATCCTTGAAAGCATGAGGGCCTACCAAGTCGGGATGAAAGCCCCACGTCCGGATAGCTGTAACGTCAACCTGTAAGCTTTAGCGTCCACCTGTGCCTGCACCTAAAAAGATAAAGTTGTATGGGATTAGTACACACTTGTACTAAGTATGGATATATTCAAGTACACACCAAGGACATGCATGAGTAAGAATATCTCTTTCCTAACAACATGATTTTAGAAGGTCAAGTTAGTGAACTTGCCAAATTGAGATTCGGAAAGTGAGTGAGTTTTACAAATTTGGATTAGAAAAGTCAGTGAGCTTTCCAAATTTGGATTAGGAAAGTCATGCCATGAGAGTAACATGCATCATCAAACTTATCATTTTCCAAACGACACATAACATATTTGACATATCATATCACATGTAGTACATAACATCTTTCATATCATTCATTAATATGCCATGAGACCTTAATATCATGGACATAACATTAAGACTTTCCAGAAATGAGGGCTCAACATATGGGACCTCAACTAGGGAGTCTGTTTTAGCAAACACAAAGTCTATCTCGTTCATTAATATGTACTCCATTTCATTTCATTCATGGGTCATTGTAAACACCAGCTATACCTAGGATGTAGTTAAAGACTTTCATCGGGTTCGTTGTGCAATGACCAAGAATGACCTAATGTCATTACTTGAATCTAACTCACCATTTGATTATCCTATCCTAATACCTTTGGTACCATTTGTTTCATTATGTGCTTCATTTGAGGCTGGCCTCCTTCATTCATTGGGAACTTTAACTTTAACCGACATAGATCATGTGAGCATCATGAAATCCAGTGTCATGAAACCCCACACCAAAAAGAGGTGGAATCACCGGCGAAAGTGACCCAAAATATGATAGCGTACATGGGAATTGAACCCCGCCATAGGTTCGAAGACTAGGAGATTTGAGGAGACCCATACCTGGCATGCCGGACAGTCTCATATCATGAGAGTTACGTGAACATTCGCCCTTCCCAAAAGAAGGCATCACCGCTCATAGCTAGTCTATCGGTGCTCAGTATAAAGTTCCATTAGATTCAACTCATACGTCATGGAAGTTGGCTTCTAGTATGAGGACATCATAACTCAATAGATGATTTCTCATCTCATCATTATAATTAAGTGTGTTAATCTCAATACTTTCATTAGAATGTTCATATAGACTGGTCTCTTCAGTAACTTTACACTCTCATAGGTGAGTATGTTTTGGTAATATTTACTTAGGATCACTTGATAATGCTCCCATCCTTTACATTAGACTTATATCATGTTGTCAGTAAATTCATTAACATTAGCACACTTTCTCTTCATAATTACTCACCATTTTTACGTGAATGTTTATTTCATCATATGCCAATGCACTTGGCCATTTGGTGTGTTTCACACTTTTACTTAACCCTTCTAGGGTTTCATCATTTCATTGTTCATTCATAATATGCTAATGTACTTGTCCATTTAGTGTGTTTCACAATCTTACTTAACGCGTCTAGGGTTTCATCATTTCATTACATACATCTTAGGTTCACTTGTTTTTAATCGTATGCTAGACTTATGGGTCTATACATACAAGCCATGAGGCTTTATTCATAGTTTGTTAAGTGACTCATATCTTCCTAATATTATGTAGTACAAGACTTATGTAACTTGTATATATGCCAAGATCTCGATTTTGATCTAAGTAGGTGACATTATTCTTGAACATGTAATTCACGTATGATTTATGTATCAATATGAAAATTTGGGCAAGGGAACCCAAGTTCGAACCCCTTGGACAATACTTATATTTTTTTTCTTGACTTTATTTTTAGTCTTCATGACATTGGGACCCTAGATCCAGCCCCAACATCAACATTATATATTTATTTGTCTCCTTGGATTATCCTCTTATTTGGCCGAAGTGTTATGGGATTGAACCCCCACAACCCCTTTTATTTTTTTCATTTAAAACTTA